GGGGCACCCATGGGTGCTGGGGGGGTCCCCGCCTCACCCCACTTCCTGCACTGCACAGCAGGTCCCACAGCTCCATCCAGCCCTTGTCCTGAGGCGAGAGGGGACTGCATGGTCCCAGGGTCTGAGAACCTGCCCTGGCCATCACGGTGCTCCAAACCCAGGGAAGCCCCGAGAGGGAAAGTGTTTCTGGTTGATTCAGAAAACAGAGAGTGTAAATGAAGAGGTGTGAGTCTGTCCGAAAGGTGCCAGCCGGGGGGCAATATTAATAGCAAAGGCAGGTTTCACTGGGACGTCAACCAGAAAGCAGCTTAGAGAAAATTCAGGAGATGGGATGGAAATAGAAGGGTTTGCACCCAAATCTCCACTGCTCTATGTCCTCTGAGTGGGGCTCTGGTTGATGTTGCCAAGCACTCCATCCCTTATGGAGTGGGCACAAAGGACCTGTGGTATGTGCCATCCCATGTGGGACACCCTACGTGGGTTTGTCCTTCATGGCCTTGTGCTCCATGAGTTTTTGGCCACTATCTCAGTGCCCTTCTGTCTTGCAGGGGGGATCTCAGCAGACAGGAACAGCACCAGCAACAGCACAGGTAACCTCTCCAATCCGTTGGGTTCTTCCCTATACCTGTCCCCAGGGTCCTTCTCATCCCCACTGGCTATGCCACGAAGGTGCTGGTCCCCGGCAGAGCTGGAGATGTCCCAACACCCACCACCCTTCCCCATCGCAGAGGTGATTGCCAGGCTGCAACCTCCTCCATGGCATTTCCCCAGCCCCGCGCTTTGCTCTTCCTCTGCAAAGCTGAATCTGTTTTGTCTTTCCTAAGAACAGCCACATTCTTCCTCTGCATTTGCAGAGCACGGTGCATGAACAAGCCATGCCTTGGGACCAGGCACTGGGCTCACGCATGCAGCGCTTGTGCCATTCCCACCCACGGGGCATTAGGTGTGAACTCTGCAACCCAAAGAAGCCCTCAAACTCACCAGCTCTGGGGCTAAAACAGACCTGAAAATACAAAATACAGCAAAATGCCAAAAATGTGGAAGCATGAGAGAAGCCAGCTGGGGAGATGGGTCTGTCCTAGCAAAGGCTCTGTGGTGCACATCAGTGCAAGGTGTAATTTTGGAGCTGGAACTAACAAGACGTACAAAGAGAGGGGTGGGAGCAGCAAAAACGTATCCGAGTGAAGCCATTCCCACAGAAAACTGGAGTTTCCTTTAAAAGTACATTTTCACCAAAAACCTCTGTTTTTTACCCCCAGACAATGATGGTTCACCAAAACAAAGCTGAATGCTCAAAAGTGGTGTAATCCATGAAAACAGGAAGCTCTTGATCTGGGAGATGCTGGGGGGGAGTCTCGCGGGAGTGGGTTTTTTCCTGACACTCCCTGCGTGCCAGTCCTTGCTCGCCGTGACCACCCTTGTCCCCTGGCAGGCAGCGGGTGCCCCATGGTGCAGCAGCACCCACGCTACGTGGCGGCCAAGAAGAACATGCCCGTCCACTTCATCTGCTACTCCAAGGAGCCCCACAACATGCAGTGGTACAAAATGGCGGAGGACAGCGATGACCTGTATGTGCTGGACAACAGCATCTCCCGCTATAGCATCGAGTGGAAAGACAAATTCATCAACTTCACCATCTTCAAGATTGCCTACGAGGACAACGGCATCTACGTGTGTGACAGCAAGAACCTCATGGTGGAGAAGAAGCGGCCACACTTGTGCGGGACAGAGCTCAGAGTCATGGGTGAGTGGGAGCTCCCCATCCTCCATGCACCCCAGATGTTCTTTCTCCTTCTCTCACCCTTTCCCCCTCCACGTGAACCTCATACCATGCTCCTGTGCACCCTCTTCTCCCCATGCTGGTACATGGGGACAGTTGACCCCTTCAGGTACAACTGTAGAAGCTCCGTGTCACCACAGAGGCTTCTTTGCTCATTGCCAGCTGCCAAGCAGCAGGACACCCACCCTGGTTGGCCCTGGCACATCCATCCCACAGCAACACATCCCAGGGACTGCATTCCCATAATAAATCAGATTTTTCTTGGTCCTGACTAGCGGTGGGTCCTGCCCAAGGTGTCTCATCCCAGAACTTGTCCCTGATGCCAACCCCGGGAGCAGTTTACAATGCTCTGGCCTCTCCTGAGGGGGGAGGGCATGTCACCCTGGTCCCTCATGTGCTCTGCTGACACACGAAGCTGTGGCCACGCCGAGCTCAGCCCTGTTCCCCAGGAGCCTCCCACGGAGGTGGGACTTAGGGCTCTCCCTGTGCTGCTGCTCTCAGGTCACAGCAACATCCAGCAGGTCCAGAGCAGGAACACCCTGAAAGACGCCATCATCATCATCCAGTCCATCCTGCTGGTCATCTTCATCAGCGTCCCCATGCTCCTCTTACTAGATAAAGTAAGTGACGGCATCTCCAGCCCATCATCAGATGCATCTCCAGGCATCAGCCTGGGATGTCCCCGGGGCGAGGACACTGCTAGGGATGGCTATGGGCCGGCACCGGGTTTGGGGCTGTTACATGGGAGTGTGGCTAGCTGAAGTGGGAAATAAGCATCTAAAATGGAGTGTTGGGGACTGCCTGGATTTGCATGTGGAAGCCATTGGACCTGTCCTGGAGGGATGAGGCTGGGAACAGGGGTCAGAGGATCCCAGTGGGTACTGGTGACATCCAACCTGTGACTCTCCTCTCCATAGGGTGAAGGCAAGGAAAGCCCGGAGGAGGACCACACCTATGAGGTAATGCTGCATTAATTATAGAAATTCCTCTGCAAGATCAACCTGAGCCTTGAAATAGCTGGTTGTGCCCTTGCTGGGTGTCTGCTGGGCACCACCAGCCCTTGCAGGGCTCATCAGGGCATCTTCCTCCCAAGTGCATGTTGCACATGAGCCGTAAAGAGCTGCTGGTAAAACCAAGCCAGGCTCTGAGCATGTCCAGCCATCTACCTCCACCTTCTCCCCTCTCAGAAGCTGCCCCGATCTCCAGGGGAATCGCCGAGAGAGGGGACTCTGCTTGAGGGTCCCAAGGATGGATGCATGGTGGCCAAAACCATGGTCCCCTTCCCATGTCTCAAACTCCTTCTTTTTGGCACAGGGTCTAGAGGTGGAGCAGATGGCCACCTACGAAGACATCACTCCTTTCCGGGACATGAAGGCCAAGTGGACAGTTGGGGAACACCCGGGTGAAGAGTGAGGGGTCCTGTGCCCACCACCAGGCCGGCAGTGGCGGCAGGGCTCCCTCCCAGCACCCTGCTGGCACCCGCGGGGACAGGCCCTTGGACCATGGCTCTGATGGGTGCCTGGATCCCGGGCTGCGATCCGGGACTGCAAACCATCTCCAGCAGCCTTGCGAGGAGCTCGGGTCCCACTGCCCTTGGGTGCTCGCTTTGTCGTGTCTGGGCTGTGCCCACCAAGGCTGCCCTGCCATGGCTGTCGCTCCCACCACCCAGCTGATGAACCCCTAAAGCCTATGTAGAAATTAGAAGCTACCTGCAGCCCCTCCTGGAAGCAAACTGGCCCCAAAACCCAGGCAGCTCCACACCACGGTGCTGAGCTCCTGCATGGTTAATGCAATGGAAGTACCAGGGTGGGTGGCAGGTGTCCTCCAGCCCCATCATCCCTGGGAAGGAAAGGACCAGGCATGGTCACTCTCTGTGCTGCAAGGACCCTCCTGGGCTGTGAGACCCTGCTGCAGCCCTGGCAGAAGAGCCGAGGTGAGCAGCACTATGTGGATGTCACAAGAAGTGGATTTTGGGCCAGTGTTTAGCTCTCAAGCCATGGACATGTCCAGCAGGCCAAGCTGTCAGTTGTCTGAGATGGAGGATCCTCCAAAAGCACCTCTTTCTCCCCAAAGACTACAGCAAAAGCTGGGGAGACAGCTCTTGCCCAGAGGGTCTTGCACAAGTCTGGCTCCTCTCCAGGCAAGAGCTGGCACGTGTCACGAGGACATCCCCTTGGTGAGGGACACATCTGATCTCACAACCTATGGGAAGGATGTAAATTGTGGGACACAAATGTCCATCTCCTTTTTCGAGTCCTAATTAAAGGTAATGGGTAAATTCCCATCCTGCTCCATCCTGCCGTGCCCGCTCCAGGGGTGTCCCATAACCCTGGTGCCAGGGTGGGTAGGACAGATGCCCTGGGAATAAGGAGCAGCTTTTCATGGGTCCAGCTTAGCTAGAAACCAAACTTCACCTCGTCAGTGCCCCGAGCACAGGCAGGGGTGTAAAGCTGAGAGCAGCCGTGGGGCTCTCCTGGAAGCTCTCGCTGAGTACTCGTGGGGCGACCTCCGTGGTGCCAAGACGTCAGCTTGGGATGAGGGACAAAGACCATCACTGGAACTGAAGGAGGAGAACAGGGCCCAGGGCCAGGAACTCCGCTCCCGGCTACATCTGGTCTTGCAAGAGATGCTAAAAAACATCTGGAGAAGAACAGGGCAGCGCTAATCGGTTTTGTTAATAAAAATATTGGCACGGAAGCAGCTGTGTGGGTGATGGGGCTTGGGGCTGGCTGGGCACCCAACGCCAGGGCTCGGGGGGGTCCGGAGGGGTCCGGTGGGTTTGGCTGGACGAGGCAGGACAAAGGGGTGATGAGGACTGTGGTGGGCTGAAAGTCTGTCCCCCCTTGGAGAGCTCGGGCTCCCTGCGCCCCTGCGGCTCGTGATGTTTTGGGCCCCAAAGAGAGGGAGACAGGACCGCTCCCCTTCCCAAAACAGCCAGCAGAAAAGGGAGGGCAAAATCATGAGCAAACAGGGCTTTTCAGCAGGGAACAGGATGGTTCTTGTTTAGTAGTAAACCACCTTCGTCGAAAACTGGAATTCAAGCTAAATAGCACAAAAACGGCATTTAAGGTTGATTTTTACTAGTTAAATAAAACTACCCCAAATTAGTTGCGTGCACATGTATATAAATGTTACTTAAACATGTTTTACTTATAAAATTGATTAATTAAAGAAAGGAACATTCACAGTGAGAGAAGTGATCTGGCTGTTCCCGGGTTCCATGCTTGCCAAGATTTTAGGACTAGCGGAGCTCATCCCTCCACCCCGTGTTTTCACTTACGGAATGTAAGAGGAAGGCAAATTTTCTGGCCTTCCCCATTCCCAACCGCTTTCTCAGCCCCGCGTAAACAACTCGCTCAACTGCCTTAACCGAATCATATGAAAATAAGGAGAATCTGCTTTTTGCACCTGGAGAGGAAGCCACCGATGTCAAAAGCAGTTTCGGCCACCCTGGTTCCGCTCTGCCGCTTGGCTACGCTCTTAGCCCAGGGCTTTGGTGTCCTTTAAAATGTCAGAAGCAAGTAAATCTTTCTGTAGTGTTAGTGTTTTATTTTAAATGCTTAGGCTAGTTTCTGGGGAGCCTAGAGACATATTTTGTTGTCATTTTATACTGAGATGGGTTTGTATCTAAAATGCATTTAATGTAAATAAATATATTTCAGTATATACAGTATTTTGTGCCAATTTGCATCCCTACCATCAGCAGGATGGTCGGGCAGACAGATCGGGTCGCAGTCCTGGACATCTTCAGCCTCATCTTTAGGAACGGGTTCAGTGAAACTGAGAAGTTTTAGTTCCAGTAAATAAAACCCGTCAATTCAATCTGAAAAGGAATATTTACCTGCCGAGCTGAGAGCTAATAGAGGCAGCCAACCGCCACTTAAAACCTCTTGTCAACCACGCCGTCGCCCACCGAAGTGCAGAGGTCGGGCTGTGGGCTCCTGGGTCAGGATTCACCGGTTGCAGCTCACCCATCAGCCGGGGAAGGTCCTCTCCATGCAACCACCGCAGGCTCAGGGCGGCAGGAGGACCCCGGGAGTACATGCGCCTGCAGGGAATGTTGCTTCACTTGTTTAGATGCTGGTGGTGGTGCTCAGGGTAAGGCGGGTGGACACGGGACCACCTTGAAGAGAACTGAAGTTGTTCTTTTTCTCTTTCAGAAAAGAAAAGGAAATCGCAGCGTGTCACGCTGCTTTATGAGATGCTACTTTGGGTCGTGAATGCAGGCATTGGCAAGCGAGAAAAATGCCAAGCTGATATTTGAGAGCTGCTTATGCAACTGCAATTCTGCCAGTGGCGTGCGTTTGCCCGGCCCAGCGTTTCACAGCCAGGCACTGCCTTCTCCACGATGCTTCTGCCTCATTTCATGCCCAGAGATGATCGGGGACAAACCAAGCCTCGGGCGCGCCGCACAGTCTGGATCATCCTGGCTGCAACATGAAAAAAAAAAAAAACACATCGATTGAGCACCATGCTTTTACTAACAGAGGTAGAGAGGCAGCAGGGCAGCGAGTGATGGGCAGGACTCGGGTGCAAGGGGCTGTACCAATCTAGCTGCAGTGGTCGAGCATCATTGTTAAGGGGCAGCAGAGCCTGGGCTGGGCTGGGGTGCCTGCTGCTCTGCTCACCTCTGACAAATATTGACATATTTAAACATGGTCTTGAGTAGAAAAACACACCCAGATGTTGCTGGCTATTGGGTGACGGGATACCTGATAGCTGCAGGACCCACTGTTCCCTCTTCTCTAGGGACTGACATTTACTCGGCGACACCACCACATCTCCAGCAGGCAAACACTCGGGGGCTTCTCGGAACAGACCGCGCTCTTCCCGGCATGTTTATTAACCAGCTCTCGCACCCTCTGCTCCAGCCGCCCCGGTGATGCTGCTGCCTCTCGGAAACCAGAGCCACACCACACCACGGGGGGCACGGCAAACACAGCGCCCGCAGGAACCAAGTCACCAGCCCTCACCAGGGACTGGTCCCTGAACCACAGACAAAGGGCCAAAACAGGGTGGTTTGGGGCAATCACTGCCTTATGGGGAGTAAAAGTCCTTTAAGCCCCCCCTGGAGCTGCCTATACTCGGTTCTGCCTTTTTTTTGCTCAAAAGCTGTGACCTCCACTCTTCCCCAACGCCAATACTCCCTTTCCACACCAGCCCTCTGCTTAATCCAGAGATATTTCACATTTGTATCTCAGGCAAGAGCAGAAAGGTGCTCATAACCAGCTCTTCTCACACCCTTGTCCAGCTGAGGCCAGAAGAAGCCCAGAGCACTGGCATCTGGGACTGGTACCCGAAACAAGCCCCCGGGTACGACAGCTCTTGGTCACAGCTCACCAGCTCACCAAAACTATTTGCTGAACTTTCGAAACTTTGGGAGCATGAAAGAAACGACCTGTCGCCAGGCAACATCCATCCAGCTCCATCACCGCTAACAATAAAGGGGAAAACTTCGCACTTGCTTTAAGTCAGAAGTCTCCCAAAGCAACCCTGGTAACCGCGGGCCAAGGCTGCAGAGCCAAGCAGGAAATTCAGGGGGATTTTCGACCCTCTGTGGCAAGTTCCACCGCGTAAAAGCACTGATCTGATTTGGGATGGGTCTTCCAACCATTATAAAACCTTTATTTGTGATAAACAGCAGAATATGGCGAAATCATTCGGCACTGATTTCACGCCGAGGCAAACAACATCCCCAACCTTTACATCTATGTATAAATGACTACGATTAGGTAGCACCATTGCGAACACTTGTGCATTTATGCACGGAGAAGATATAGAGATGTTGTTGTGATCATGAACACGTATATACATTTTAAACAGACCCCTCGCTATATAAGGGGTGGCTCAACAGTTACCTTCACCAGCCTAGATGAAAGGAGGAAACATTCACTCTCAAGCAACACCTGAGCACCGCGCCGGGCAGAAATGGCTCCAGGTATTTTGCTTTATTTCGATTTTAAAGGATTGCCAGTGCATGCAAGGTGATGCTTAGGGTGATGGGAGATGATGATGGGGTAGTACCGCGGTGGGCTACAGACACTCAGTGCCAACCCTAAATTAAAACGTGGCAACTTATAAATCAATGAAAAAGAATACCTTTCGGTACAGTGGGACTTTTATCCATGAATTAACTTAGGTAGTCTTTAGCCTAAACTGGGCCAGGAGAGGCTGGAGAACATGAAGAACAAGGTCGAGCCACAGTTATAATGGTTATTATTAACATAAATGTTGGCAGGGAAACTAAAACTCATATTCAAAGCTTAAGACGGAGATCAGGATGATGTCTAATGCACACATCCAAGTCCTACAGGCTCCAGGGCATTCCTCCGCTGAAAGGTATTTGTCTGAGATTAACTTTGTGGTCTCTGTAAGCACAGATGGACACTTGAGTGTTAGACGTCATAGGCTGAAAACCTTCAGGCTTGACAAAGGTCACCAAATTCTACAGGTATGTCCCAAAGAGAAAAAGTAGCTGGTCACAGCACAGGTAATGTCATCAGCTCTCATCCTAGTGCAGGCAGACAGACGGTTTCACGTCAGCAGCGTGGAGGAAACCAAGGCGAACGTGAGCTACTCCCACACCCTCACCCGGTACTCACCATCCCCTGTTTGCTCACACAATTTGCTCTCCTCAAGGCCTGTGCAAAAATATGAGCATGTTAGGGAAAAACATAGAGACACACTCTATTTTTCATGGAGGAACAACAACTCTCAGCCAGGAAGACACCAGTCAACACTGGGAGCAGTACAAGCCTCGAGGGCACGTTTAGTGAAAGGGGACGAGGTTTCGTTTGATTTTGGGGAGGATTAAACTCACCCACAGAGTCAAACAAGACATTCAGGAAGGTGAGTCCTCAGCCAGCATGGACAGAAGAGGCTGGGAACTCATTCTCAGGTGCCACCTTCCTCCTCAGCACAGTTCCTGAAGGACTGCTAACACCTTTCCTCTCCACTTTGCTGCAGGGTCATGGTTTTCTCCTCTCTTCATTGCTGTGATCGCCCTGGGACTGCAGTGGCCACAGGAAGCTGCCACCTTCCCGGCCATGCCCCTTTCCAACCTGTTTGCCAACGCCGTGCTGAGGGCTCAGCACCTTCACCTCCTGGCTGCCGAGACATACAAGGAGTTCGTAAGTGTCGCGGCCTCTGGGCATCTCCTCCGCATTAGCTTGACGGTTTCAGGGCCGTACCACAGCTTCTCACTCAGCCTAACTTCCCAGAAACAGAGACTTTTCAACTATTAGTGTCATCTTTGTCAGTTGTTGATGAGGCAAAAGGGTCTTAATAGGATAGGACAGGCTATGTGCCATCAGCCTGGACCCTGTCTCCTCCTCTCAGCTCTCTGCCCCCACCTCTGATCCTGCATAGTCCCCTCCTCGGGGCTATTGCTGCCCGTGTCCTATCCTAGCGCACAGCTAAGAGAAACCTGGCTCGGAAAGCGGTGGGGGATGGCACAGATAGATATTCTGCAACACTTTCCTGTGACTGTCACCTATGGCCCTGGCTGATTCTGAGTGCTTAAAACAGTTTCTGCTGCTGGCAGGAGCTGGCAGGAGCTGTCACTTTGGCAAGACCTGTCCTTGGGGGTCACCTACTCCTGGTCCAAGCGTGTTTTGCATTCACCTTAGCACTTTGGGTTAGTGAGAGGAAGACCTTTAGGTCCAGAAGCCACTGTGCCAACATACAAACTCCTGTTCCTACCTGCCAACCCTGTAAGAGACACCTCATGTCTTATTTTTAAAAGAGTAAACATTCAGGACAGCTTGGGAAAGGGTTTATGGTCTTCTCCCAGTACACGAGCAACAGATCTGAACATATTTGGGATGTCTCCACAGGAACGCACTTATATTCCAGAGGACCAGAGACACGCCAACAAAAATTCTCAGGCAGCATTTTGTTACTCAGAAACCATCCCGGCTCCCACAGGGAAAGACGATGCCCAGCAGAAATCGGTAAGTCCTCTCCCCTGGGCAAGCACAGACCTGTTTGAAGATCCCAGCCGAGCTTCATTACAGGAACAGAGGGTTTCCACCTGTGAGCACTTCAGTGCTTCATGAGGTATCATTCCTCCTTTCCCTTTTTTACTATTTAAACCCTGCATGAAGAAGGAAAGTCTCTTCTATAGACTCTAGATCGTATTCCCACCCCAAGGAGGAGAAAAACATATGGCTGGGGGATGCTCCTCAGCTTGCAAATTCGTCTGTATCTGCTGAAGCTACAGGAGCAGTGGCACATCTCTGGGTCGCCTCTGGGCTGTTGCAGAGGGAGCAGGATGCGCAGGTAACTTTACCCAATATCTCACCTGCACGGCTTTGACCCTTTCTTTTTTTTCAATTTCAGGATATGGAGCTTCTTCGGTTTTCACTGGTTCTCATCCAGTCCTGGTTGACCCCGGTGCAATACCTAAGCAAGGTGTTCACAAACAATCTGGTTTTCGGCACCTCAGATAGAGTGTATGAAAAACTAAAGGACCTGGAAGAAGGGATCCAAGCTCTGATGAGGGTAAGTTAGAGCATGTAGCATGATTTAAAAATAACAGAGATCTTTGAGACACTGGGCACTCAGCTCTCAGGGTCTTCCATGGGATCCAAAGACCATGGGAAATCTCCCCACTTCTCACTCTGAAGACCAGTGGCATCCCTTGGACTCTGCTTACCTTAAGAAAATGAGATCTCAACACCCCATCACACATGTTTCATCACTGGGGTGTATAAGAAAACCCATAACAAATGTTAATAGCAGTGCAGACCAGGGAAATCCCAACAGTCCCGACCCAAAGTCTTTCCAAACCCAGCACCAAAGACTACTCAGTCAGTTAAATCTGCTGCACAAACAGCAACGTTTGCTATATCTCCATGCAAAATACTTTAAAGTGGAGTAAATTTTATGAAGTTTGCAACCTGGCTTTAAGGACTTAAAATATTTCGTAAAAACAACACATACAAGTGTGTGTACAGATGGAAGCTGATACTCTGATGTTTCTCTCTTGCATTAATACAGCACCCAGACAGCTGAGAGCTGAAGAGTGGCCTTCTTCAAGGGGTGCTCTTAATTTTTGCTTTGTTATTTTAAATGAAATTGCTTATCTGCCAGGATGCCTCTTCAGTTATACTTACCCTATGACTAAGTTTATCTGCCAGCATCACCATGTAGCTCAGAGAAACTAAGTATCTGTGAGAAATGAGTCTGGACAATTACTTGCATCTTCTGGCACCTAAATAACTCCAAAAGTCAGGCCCTGAGAGTAAATAGAGATCTTCTGTCCCGGCACTTCAGCTGGAGTAAGTAGGTGTATATATCGGTATCACTTCCAGATTTTGCTCTCCATATGATACGGGCTTAGGCATTGGGAAGCAGTACACAGAAACTAAGGCAAATAATCACATTTTAGTCATTTATGACACTGTTTACTTAACCAAAACTGTCCTGTTTACTGTGCCAGCTGGTGAGCAAAGCAGGGCAGGAGGAGTGGCAGACTGCAGATCTCTCTGCTCCAGATCTGTGTGCCTTGGGACTGGGTTAGAGCTTTGTTCACTGGGAAAGTGGGAGAAAAGAGAATTAATTGCTTGGCTCCCCGTCTCCTTGGCTAGAGTAGCTATGGAGAGACCCTGCAACTTTCCCCTTATTTCAAGACCCCAAAAGACACACTCCTCCCTCCCTGCAGCCTTGTGCCCAGCATAATTACCCTTCCTGTAAACACACACACTCAAAAGTATGTTTGAAATATAATTAAGGGGTGGTGGAAAAATCACCCCAACCTCCTCTAGAGCTAGAGGGGAGCGCTGGTGATGGGACCCCATGGAGGATGCTCATCCCCAGGACATCTCCCTCCTCCCGCAGGAGCTGGAGGACCGGAGCCCGCGGGGACCCCAGATCCTCAAACCCACCTACGATAAATTCGACATCCACCTGCGCAACGAGGATGCCCTGATGAAGAACTACGGCTTGCTCTCCTGCTTCAAGAAGGACCTGCACAAGGTGGAGACCTACTTGAAGGTGATGAAGTGCCGGCGCTACGGCGAGGGAAACTGCACCGTTTGACGCCGGGGATAGTTCCCCAACCGCCCGGGCCCCTCGCTGGCCACGACTGCCCCACTCCTTTGTCAAGAAAATAGGAGAATAAACCTGCAACCCACTGACATTTCTCTGGCTTTTG